TTATTTTATTTACTTCAGAATTTTTAATTTATGTTTGCATTATCTGAGAAAATTCTTAATGTGTATAATTTGTATTCATATTCTAAACACTATGAAGATTTAAAGATTTAAAAAAAAAATTATCTACATTTCAAATGCCCCACCAAGACTCCAAACAACATTTCAGTAAAGATAATAGACTATTGGTTTCAGTCTGTTAAGGAATTCCTCCTAATACTAATGTACAGATAGCTATAGAGTGAAGGTTACAAAAGGAACTGTATTTTAAAGGTTGAGTTTGGTAGAAAAATTTAGTAGTGTATCCTCACAGTCCTTATTTTGCACAATATAAATAAATTTAATACTGTAATGTGCCAAGTGAGGACTGCCCATGTTACAAAGGCCATTTTACTCTAAAAAGGCCAATCCTCAATAATCCTCATTCTAAGTAGTATTTTGGTATTTACTCTTAGCCAATCTTTGGATAGTGTTACCACTAAGAGTTATATCAGTAGTTGAAATTTTGAAATTTAGATAATTTTGTCTGAGGAATAGGTTTCTCTTCCAAAAATTCTCCAGGAATCGCTTTCTAAGATGTTAGAGCGTCCATGTCCACTTTGACTAAGATGATTTAATAAATGAGAAGTTCAGTCAGGTAGATAGCAGATACCTAGGAAATCAAGCATTGCCCATTAGAGATAAACTAAATAGTTTGATTCATTTTATTAAAAGTTTTGTGAAGATAACATGTCCACTTTATGTGTTTTTATTTCAGCACTCTGAGGACAAGTAAAGCAGAATTTAAATTTTTTAGGATTATAAACCTGTACATTTAAACACAACAAGGTAGTGTTGATAGTAAATGTAGCTTCCTCTGAGGTCATATTCAAGCATTGGTAGATATTTGGAAACATATATCCCATAATTAAATTGTTGGTACTAAAATTTACAAATATGATTTTATTTCTGAAATTGAATGTTTTTGAATTATAAAAAGAAACATTTCTTTTAAGTAACATGGTGGACCCCTTTTGTGAATTGTCTAAAGATTTACACACAATACTCTCTACAGCTGAACAGTATACAAGACCCTGGACCACAGGAAAGTGAAGTAGCAGCAGGAAAGATCTTAACTGTAGCCAAGGATCCAAGATATGCCAGATATCTCAAAATGGTTCAAGTGGTAAGCTGATTCGGTCTGTCTTCTCTGTCTAGCAGCCTCATTTCAAATTCTTAACCCTTGAGGTTTTATTGTTACTTTTTCAATCTGAGCAAACTGCTAAACCAAGTGACCAAGTTTTCTACTGTCTTACTTCTGTTCTATGCTTAATCACTACCCGATAAAAAGTAACCAGAAGTGAAATCTTTCTAGTTAAAATTGACTTCATACTTCAAATTTACATCATTTTAAAATTGAATACAGATTTATATAATTATTTTTTACTTTATACCAAGTTATCATTGCAGATCTTGGATGTATCAGAAGGAGAAATAAAAGTATACTGTTCATTTGGTAAATCATATGCTTTCACTTAATTCCCACATATTAGCACAAACAATGTGTTTTTTTTGTGTGTTTTCATTCTGATGTTCATCTGTCACTGTTCATCTGTCAATGATGTAGTTTCTAGAAAAGAGCCTAAGTTTCTTGGCTATGTAAAATCATGTGTTTAACACTATGTAGCTTCATGACTCTTTTTTTTTTTAAAGGAATTATAGCATTGTATGATACCAAAAATATGAGGGAGCTTCAAAAGGTTTGTAGAAAAATTCTGTTATCTACAAATTCTTTTGAAGCCCCTTACATTTGCAGCTATCTACTCCTTGGAAACCCTATACAGGGTCGCTATGGGTTGGAACCAACTCAATAGCACTTCACAGCAACAACATAGCAGCATACGCTGATTTCTTTTTTTAAGGTTTTTATTGTGGATTGAGTGAAAGTTTACGGGCACATCATCAGTTTCACATTCAACCATTCATATGTCTTGTTTCATTACATTGATTATAATCCCCTCCGTACATCATCAGTTAACAGTGTTTCTCTCTATTCTCTTTAGCTTTTTTTGGTGGGGTAGGGTGGGGAACTTTGCCTTTTGGGAATTTACAGTCTTGGCT